ATTAATATGTATCATTAACAACAAGAACGAACTGTTTTAATGTTTCAGTAATTAGTTTTCACTTTCCACAATAGCTCGCAAATGTCATCGTCTAGACAATTTTTATATTTTCATTGGCATTTGCAGAAAACACATACAAATTTGGTATCTCTTTTATCCATCTACAGAATTGGCATAAGATTTCTTGATAAAGACGCCATATACAGTAGCGATTACGTACTACGGAAGAATTAGCACAATATGTTTCGACTGGAGAATTCTATTATGACAACAAGGTATTTTAGGAACAATTGATATCATTGTTGTGTTAATTTGCAGAGCCGCCGCGCGTTACAGCGGCGGTGGGGCCGCGCAGCAAGCGGGCGCAGACGCCGCAACCGGCGCGTACGCCCGCGCCGCCTGCTCCTCTGCCCGCGCCTCTCGCCGCTCCGCTTGTCGCCTCGCTGCCCGCACCTCCTACCACGCCGCCTCGTGAACACGTCACAGCGCTAGCTCACGCCGCTAAAGGCGTTGAAGCACTAGGAGTTTTAGTGCAGTATTTAGTTTTTAGAGTGAGTAGCCGTTTGAATATATATTTAGTTTATAGTTCACACATTACTTTAAGTGGTTTTACCTACCGCTACCAAGGAAATGAATAGCATTACAAGCTGTGTTCAAGACAGACGGAAAACCTGACAACACAAAAAAGGACTAAGACTAGAGAAATATTTAAGGCGTTGGAAAAATAACAGGTAACACGACAAAATCACATCTAAGTGCCTAACACAAAGTAAAATATCGTTTATGGCATTTCAGCTGGACGCACTAAACGGCGGGTCGTGGCGGCTGGAGGCGGAGCGATGGCGCAGCGTGGCTGCCGCCGAGCGCAGCAGCGCCGCGCGCGCCGACCGCGACCGTCAGCAACGCGCGCAGAAGGATCTCGACACCAGTGAGTGTGCTCATTTTCTCCTACTTTGACTAGAGAGAAATTTTATAGTGAAATTGTAACTTACAATAATTTTGAATAGCAAAGTGTGGGAAAGAAGGTAAAGGACATCCGAAACCTTCATATCGACAATGCAAAATTGCAAAATAGTTGGCTCCCATTGTAAAATTGCCTGGCTGGTTCAATATGGCAAACAAAACAAAGGACGTTGTTTGCAAAACTAAATGCAAGTTATATTACGTATTATCTTAATAATTGCTGCGTAATTTCAAGTATTTAATACAATGAGTTTTGTATGAAAATTTTGGCGCATACGTTAGTGTAGGACACTTAAAATAGTATAAAGCTGTTCCAAATCTCTAAATGTATACCATCTGTAAATACAGGCCGGCCTGAATATAGAGACGATTGCCAAAACTATTTCCAACTCTCGGATACAAATAGATAAATTTATGCTGTTATTATTTTTGTATGTGTATTGTGACAAGGGCATGGGAAATTAAGGACGAGTATCAAACCTTGGAATAACAAAAAGAAGAAGTACTTATTTAGAGGCGTCGTTGTTAACAACTCAATCAATAGACTTTGATGAAACCCCAAAGAAGATTGAAAACTGAGGAACATTACTTGGCTACTGAAGCACAGGACTCAGCCCTATTTCAGGAGCCAAGGCTCCCACATAATTGTGTAATTGAGTATTACCATAAAGTTTTTATTTATTTATTCAAAAATATAAATCCATGATCCTCAAATAAGAAAGATGTAGGCGGTATCACAATAAACACAAATCTTGCGTCTAGAAAAAGAAATATTGATTCGATATTGGATATAAGTAATGAAATCATTTGTTTGTCGATATAAGTACTCGCCGACAGCCAAAACAAACGCCTTAATGCAAACGAAAACAAAATCGGTTTAAAATTAGCAAATACGAAATGAGGCTACAATCGAAAGTTTACTCAGAAGTGTGTGAATATTATTAATTCGGAATATCGCAATTAATACATCAGAATGCCAAGTCTATTTTTACCTATTCGTATGTTGTCTTTATCGTTAAAATCCATTGAAACTATGGCCTTCCAATGTTATCTATGTCATTAGAGAAGAATCATATCAGTTCAGGTAATTTATAAAAAAATATTTAAATAAAACTCTGTTGCTTTTTGCGGAAGCCGATTTGCTGATCACTTTAATTTAGGCAATTATTTTTATTAAATGTTAGAATAAATCAATAAATAATAATAACAGTAAATTTTGTAGTTTACGATTTGTTCTATTTTCCAGTCGCAGAATGCCTGAGCAAGATCTCAGAGCTAGAGATGGAGGTTTCTTCCAAGGAAGAAGCCAACGCTCGACTCCAGGCCGTCCACATGGAAGAGGTGACCGCTCTGGCAAACGACATCAAGGGACTAAAAGTGAGTAAACACTGAAACAAAAAGTTACAAGCTCTTTTTCACCTGAACCCAGTTTTGTTCACTAAAACAAATGCATACATTTTCATACTATTTTTACAAAGACAACGTCAATGGTTACAGGATACGATAGAGTCCCTGAAGCACGAGGTTGCAGAGAGCAGGGCGCGGCTGCACGCGCACAGCGAGGTGGAGCGCACGCTGCGTGCGCAGCTGGAGGCGGCGCGGGCGCAGGCGGCTCGGGGTGAGCGCGGCGAGGGCGGCGGGCGCGCGCGCCGCGACGCCGCCTGTGACCCCGTGCGCTGCGACGCCGAGGACTTCCAGCTGCGACTAGAAGCTGGACAGGAGATCAGCACCGACGCTAACGAACTAGCCGCTGAGGTTGGTTAAGTGTATATTGACTCTGAAGTAGGTCAATGTTTGTAGATTATTTTCCCTGTATTACCATGTTAATTGTTCGCAGGTGCGCTCTCTACGGGCGGTGATAGAGCTAAAGCAAGCCGAGATGGCATCTCTGCGTGACGCGCGCACTGAGCTAAGTGCGGAGCGCGAGAGACGCGCGGGGGCCGAGCGCGAGGCGCGTGCTGCGCGGCACGCGGCCGAGGAGCTGCGCGAGCGCGCCGCCGCCCGTCAGCGAGACGTGGACCGCCTGCGCGACGACAATCGCCGATTGCGCGATGCCGCCGCACGTGACCGCGATCACGCCGCGCGCCTCGCCGCACTCAACGAGGAGCTCAGATACAAGCTGCGACAGAAGAGCCAGGTGAGAAATACGCAATGACTGTATCTAATGCTCGTGCTTTTGCTTAAAACATAATATACACAATATTATTAACTGAAACCAATGCACATCGCATTCAATTTATTCGGTATTGTAATTTGTCAGGTGGTGTCACTGCTCGCCGGCGGCGGGTACATAGAGCGTGCGCCGTTGCGGACACGCACGTCGTCGGGCGAGTCTGCGCGCTCGGGCTCCCCGCCCCCCGACTCCCCGTCCCCCTCCGCCTCACCCGCCGCCTCCCCCGCGCCCGACGCTCCGCACTCCCCGCACTCGCCCCACTCGCCGCCGCTGCCCGCCGTCAAGGGCGTCGTCGAGAAACACGATTCTGTCAGCTGGGTGCTAGAGATCGAAGAATCGCCCGAAGAAGTTGCCACGAGGTGGGTAACGGAGATTTTTTTACCTTAACATATCGAGTTATACGAAGCAACAATATTCCTACGAAGACAAGTTTTGATAATAAAAACTCTTTTCTTGCAGTACTGCACAGACTTAGTTTTTATGTGCAGGTTGGCGAGACGATCGTCGTTCCGTGCGTCGGCGTCGCCGAGTGGAGTGAAGCGGCGCGGCGGGGGCTCGCCGGGCAGCTCGCCGGCGCCCGCATCGCCTGCGCCCAACGCCTCCAAGCTGTTCCGGCCGGGCGAGCTCGACTTCCCGCCGCCGCCGCTCAAGGAGTCAGCCGGCGAGGCCATCTACATCTACGACGACCGCCAATATTGAGATAAACTTTACACGTTGTGTTACGTCCGCGATTAACTCGTATTACTGCAGCGTACTCGGTGTACGCTCGCGTGCGCAGTGAGGCAGGGCGCGGGGACGTGCGGTACGCCGCGCCCGCTCGCCCGACAGATTCGTGTTAAATGGTGAACACACACGTGATAATGACTTGAACGACCTGATATTTGATATTCTTGCCGGACTTTTCGCAAAGTATCGTACTGTGGGACCCAACTGGAAAGTATTAATAGTAGTAATAAAGTCGATAATTCAATGAATTCGTGAGATGTTGAATCGCCGATTGCGTTGGAGCCGTTCCTCCGTGGAAGTGACACCGAAGTGCGTGTTTTTATATTCATGTTTGAATTCTCTTCAATAAATATGATATTATATATGGCTATTGAGGACTCTGCGAATAATTTATGAGCTTGGTTGTATTATTTCGTATATAGTTGTAGTTATATTATGCAAGTTTGCTCTTTCTGAACGGAATTAGCTTATGGTGATATGAATATGTTTAGCTCGCCAATGATATTGTACCGTAGGGAAATAGATATTAAATACCGGAATCAATTCTGTGGGTTATTTTTCAATGACGTTTGTCTTAATGCTCTCGAATGTGTCTTTGGATACGATTGAAATAACCTACAGCTCGACTCCAAAACAAACTCACTATTATAATAATTAGCTTTTCTCAGAATCTGGCCTCTATATATAATTGAGTCGAATTGGCTACATTTTGGAGAAGACAATATTTTGTACCTGTCAATTGCGCCAGTAAATAAAAATTGTCCCACTTTTAATACCTAAAAATTTCATCTTATCTACCATTATCCTTTCTGTAGTTTTTTATTCCTATGATATTTATTTTTAATTTACTACATTCTTTGATCTGAAAACTTAATTTCACTATTCAATTTTTGTTTATTGGCGAAATTGTTCTTTTAAAAAAAATGTATAATGTATTAATTAATGCTGTTCATTTATTCAGGCATGTGTTTAAAGCAGCGACGTCTGCTTGTTTTATTATGATGTACTCGTATTGTTTTGTGTCCATTATTACATTTATAACTTAATTATTATAGTTTATCATGGTTGTTGGCATTGTTTTATTTTTTATGTACAAATAACAATTTAAATGATGATGTAATTTAGTTTTAAGAAAAGCGATATGCTCGTTGAAATGTCTCACTGCTGTGTCGAAGCAGTTAGCGGACACGTGACTCTTATATACTTCAGTTTTGTCTACAATCTCATTATGTACTTAGATGTACGAATAATATTAAAAGATGCAATAAAACCAAAGAGTATCATTCATCTTAACTCTTTGTCATGTTCCTTATATATATATTTTTTAATTTGCATGCGCAGGAGAAGGAAAATAAGTCAGATGTTCTTTTTATTTATTTTTAAGCTAAATGTTTCACATAATATCATTCCAAATTAAGAATTGTAAGCGAAAGTAATGATTACGTGATTAGGAAACTATCTAATAATACAAAAAATAAAATTATATGTGAAAAATAAAGAGTTGTTTCATTTTATAATGTTCACTGAATTGCATCACTTTTAACTTCTTGTGCAAAAGAGATGAAGTTTAAATCACATGAAAATACGAAGCCCGTTGATTTCTATTGCTAAAAAAACAGTATAACTCACTGTCTTGAAGAAGTCTTGGATGTTTATACAATGAAAACCCACGGTAACCTGTGTTAGCATACAACACATGCTCTATCTATAATCAATGGAGACGTTAAACGTCAATTTGACGATCGTTGAAATGGTGCAACGAATATTTGCGCAACCGTAGATTTAACTACTGTCAAGGTGATCGTTATAGTTATAGTTAATTGATGCAACTCACCCTTATTGAAGTAATGTGAGTAGTAACTTGGGATTTCACTACAGAAACACCTGGGAGAAAACCATAGCAATGAAAATTCAGTATAGCAAAACCAAAAGACATGTTTAATGTAATAAATCTGTTAATTTTTCTTATAACCAGTCATATAGGAACTTGTATCTTTAGCTACTTCCTTTTCAGAGAGATTTGCTAAATTTTGTATAGATTTCTGATACAAGTTGATACCGTTCAAGAATATAGTAATATTGATATTTTCATTAATTCCGTGCACAAGGAACTCCGTTTTCTGTAACGGAGAGAAACCTAATACGGGAATTCCAAACTTTCTCATAACACCAGCGTTTGTTTGGTCGAAGATGACGCTCGGGTTGAAAGTTATATTTCTGCAACAATAATACACGAATTAGGTTATGTAATGATTTTCAAATTATGCGTTGAATAAGGTTAACATTTTTATTAATTTTATGACATAAAAAATTAAAGTTTTTAACTAATTTAACGCGTAGTAATTGCTATTTGATTTTATAGCATTTATTATATAATTATATGTATTGTGTGTTGTATTTTGAACGGTATTCGAATACAATTAAGGTTTAAACTCACGTGCACTTGGCTGCATCAGAAATTGCTGTCCAGTAAGGATTGGTGTCGTCAGTTTTGACGACGGGGGATTTCTCAGCAGAACGTACAATGGTCAACTTTATATCGCTACCAAGTTTTTGGATTCTTTCTTTCAGCTGGAAATATATCTGATTTTAGGCAAGAGGCAGTTAAAGTCGAATATCTGATGAAATCAATGTTCCATCTGAAACCATCACTTTATCAAAATCAGATCTCAAAATTGAAATACGGCATCGAAAAATATGGTCCGTGGGCGATCTTAATATTTTTGTACTCCGTTATAAAAACAAATTTCGGAAAGAACCCAGTACATTCCAAGGTTGACTTTTCGTCTGGATTAAATAAAAGTTAAGTTTAAACAACATGAAGCGTAGTTTACGAGAATTACTTTTATATACTCCTCGTTTATATGAAAAATAATTGTTTCACTGTTTTATAAATACCTCATCAAACACTTCGGATACTGTCGATCTGGTTGACGGATTGATGTAGTAACGAAGAGTTATACGGCCTGGCAGCACACTATCTGTCAGGGCGCCCTGGAATGTGCGCCATTTAAAATTATATTAAACTTAAATGTAACATAAATAATTTAGGACCAAAAATGCCGTAATAATTTGGAAGTTCAAGGTACAATTAACATTTGGCTATACTTCATAAATAAAAAAATAATCATTTTCTTAGTCTAAAATCTAAAACGACAGATTCTTTGTGATGTGATTTTAACGTAATAGAAACATTCTTTTGATATAATTTTTCATTAGGTATTAAACTGAATTAAGCTATAATAGTTTATAAGGGAAGATTGGATCTACAACTGACCTGTAATCTGTTCAAGTTGATGCTGGTAAAGTCGCCGGTGTTGCTGACTTGCAACTTCTTCATGTAATCAATTTGCTCGTCTCGATACTCTTGTAATGATTCGATCACTTTCGCGCACTGTAAATACACAAATATCAAAAATGATATAACAATTCTATAAAACTTCAATGTACGATGAAAATGAAGATTTCCTTTACTACGCCTATTACCTTATCTAAGTTTTTAAGGCGATCAAATAACATTGCTATAATTCGTTTCGAGGTTTGAAAAAGATTGATATCTGCAAAAAGTATTGTGTCTCTTTTTTTTTCGAACAGAATGAGAAAAACTTTTTTGTTTGACTCATAAGAAAACAGGTGTTGTAATTTTAGGTTTTCTTAGTTAAATACCTTTCCTATAGCTGTAATGTTCGAATCAGGCATAAGTGATCCATGCGTCTCTATTCCGTAGCAGTCAACATCAAGTACTGTCAAAGAGAAAAAATATTAAGAGCACTTCCATATTTTTTTTATAACAGAAGGGGCAAACGAGCAGCGGGAACACCGAGGAATCAACGACGCACATGGACATCAGCAATACCAGAGGAACCGCGGATGCCTTGCCTGCCGGCCTTTGAGATGGTGATTTAGTTCTATTGTAATATCTCATTAGTGTTACATATATTTATTACCTAATAGCGCTTTATCTTGGTAAAATAGTAGTACTTTGTCTGATTCATAGGAAACTCCTTCGTCTATACCTCCACCGATGGACATGTTTTCAAAATCTTTGCTTTCTATAAAGGGTTGTAGTTTTTCCACTGTTACGCCAATTTCATGATCTAGAAATAATTAATTTAATTACAGTACAATTAAGTAGCATTTAATGATTATGCTAATGTCTTAGTTGTTACCTCCTTACTATTATAATATTATAAATGCGATAGTTACTCTGTCTGTCTGTCTGTTCTTCTTTCACGCAAAAACTACTGGACTGATTTAATTAAATTTGATACACTGATAGTCTAGAGCCTGAGAAAGGCTACTTTTTAAAGCGAAAAAGGGGTTGTAAGGATTTGAAAAGGGGGTTGGTAATTATCGACATTTTTACAGATAAGTTGGTGACATTATAGGCATATATATATATGTCGGAGGAAGCCATTTTGATTATATTTACAGTAGGAAGTTATAAAGTAGCCATTGTCAAATGAATTACTGTTTAACACATAATGTGCAATGTTTAATGTTTATTGATATTGTAAAGTTACGTTTTTCAACAACGACGACGAATTCAACTTCTATTTGTTATTTTAAAACGGAGAATAAAATAATTGGAACGTACTCACCAAAGTTGACATTATAAAACTTGATCACACCGTCATCTTCTTCTTCTCTTCTTACTTACGTATATTACACGAAACACCGAAAACAAAGTGCTAATTTGTCATTTTAAGCAAGGGTAGTTACAATTGCCAAAAACATATTTCTGATCGTATGACTAGCCAATTAAAGAAATAACAATGGAAACTCATCGTATCAGGATGCACAAACAAGGACGTGGGAGTTTCACTATCCCACTTGTGATCTTAAGGATCAGAAGCAGGGAAAATAAAAAAAAACAATCTCTTATACCCAACTACAGTACTTTTTGAATTAATAAGAAAACTAACAGAATTGAATAAATGTAATAAACACTAAAATGATTTAAAAATACAACATTAACTTAATCAACTATCAGAGTTAAAATGATTAATTATTTTGGCTAGTCAAACGGGCAGAGCTTCCGCTGGCTTCAGTGTTCGGTGGCGAGTGTGCCCCGAAAATGAGGGTGCAGTCTCTTATATTGACATCACCCCATCATGTCGGAGGAAGCCATTGTGATTATATTTAAAGTAGGAAGTTATAAAGTAGCCATTGTCAACTGAATTACTGTTTAACGCATAGTGTGCAATGTTTAATGTTTATTGATATTGTAAAAGCTTCTAATAACTTTTAATTTGATCTTACTTTATAAGTTACGTTTTTCCTAGACTAAATAACATTATAATCGTAATTTAAGTAACGACCAATCAGAGCAGAGCCCCTGGCTTAAGAGGGGTCGAGGAACCATCCTTATATAAGGCGTTTTGACAGTTGTTACGAATATAGTCGTGAAGTGGAGACGGATCGAGTTGGGTCATCGTGTTTTGTGCTTGCACTTTGTCGTTGAGAAAAGTGGTTTCTCCGACTTTTTCTGCGGCAGTTGAGTTTACTACGGAAAGTGACTGTCGGCGTTCGATGGGTCAACACCTTACCAGCCGAGGTACGGCAGCAGAACACTTCTGCTGTGGGTGCCGACTGGAACGGACATTGAACCATCGCGCGTTACCTACGTTATTATTATTGTCATTTGAAGATTGAAAAGTGCACCATGAACCCTTCTGCAAGCGGCAACTAACCTAATTTTTTTTTTGTTTCAGAAGGGAATGCTTTATGTGGGATGCACCTCCATAGCGGAGGCATACCCACTAAACAAC